CAGGCGTGTCTGCTGTGCCACGCCCCGGAGACTGCTCCCTCTCGTGCCCACAAGTGGGGCCCCACGGTGAGGCTGGGTGAGGAGGCGGAGAGTGGGTGCCCCTTGGCTATGCTGGCAGCCCTGGGACCTGAGGGTCCCAGAGGTGCAGCGGCTCATGACAGAGGAGGGGCAGCCTCCTGCCCCAGCTGTTAGGGACCCTCGGGTGGCCCTGTGAGCGCTAGCGGCTGGACACTGGTTTCTCCCGGGACGCAGATGGAGCCCCGCGCTGCCCTGCTCCTCCACCCTGTCTCAGCAGAAGCGTCCGCCGCCCCCCGCATCATGAGTCTCCCTCCCCAGACCCTGCAATGGGCACTGCTCCCCCTGGTCCCCACGTGCAAGGACTAGCTGACACAGCGCCATCACCAGTCGCGGGTGTGAGCACACAGGCAGGGGGCCCTGCGAGCAGGTGCAGGCTCGGTCAGCACCGTGGACAGTGGCCGTCCTTTTCCGCGGCCAGGTTCCTCTCTGGAGAGCCTCCCTCCTCCCCAGAGGGACTCGGCTGTGTCTGGACCACCGCTCACCACCCGTGAGCCTGCTACCCGCTCCTGCCCCGCGTCCCACGTCCACTCCTCTCACGGGCTTTGAGGGCGGACAGCCGACTCCCACCCTTTCCCTGATTTCTCAGCCTCTTCTGGGGGGGTGGGGGGACTGCCGGCTGCCAGGCCGGGGGGGAGCCGCAGGAGGACCTTCTGGGCTCAGGAGAGCTGCCTCCCCCGAGGGCAGGACCGCGGCCACGGCTGGAGGTAGGGTGCGGGGTCGAGGGCCAGGCGAGTCTAGAGTAACTGAGTCAGCAATGGGGAGGGGCCAGGTCTCCACCGATGCAGGTATTTGGTGATTTGGATGAGAAATGGCAGAAGCAATCATTTCTCCCTTTGCCCACCCCCACCCCGGGCAGGAGCTGCGTGTGCCCTGCGTGCATCGCTTCACAGGACTCTGCAGGGCCCGTGGTGTTCCCAGGTGCTTGCAGAGGCTGTGGCACTCACGTGGCCCTGGTCCACGGCCAGTTGGCAGTGCGGTGGGGGCAGGTGTGACTGGTCATTCACCTTGCAGGCTCTGGGCTCCTCTCTGCGGAGGGCCCTCCACACCCGGCACGTGGTGAACACTCAGAGAAGGTGGCTGTCCCTGATGCAACAGTGTCACCTGCTCCTAGACCCCCGCCCAGACCAAAGGGCAGCCTCTGGGCGGTGGGAGTCTGGGGCCTTCTCTGGGGGCTCCCAGGGCTCAGGGCGCTCATGAAGGACCACGACCAAGAAGAAGAGCGAGGTCAAGGATGACCCCCAGGAGGCATCCGCTCAGGACTGCCCCCTGCCCTGACCCCTGGCCCTGCAGCGCCCTGCTCCTCACTGCTCTGGGGCTGTCCTGCACCCCTGAGCCACGTGGGGCCCAGCACTCCTCCCTCCTTCCAGACCGTGCAGTGGGCGTGAGGACCGGTTGGAGCCACGGGGCAGGAGGAGTGGGCACTGCCTGCAGAGTGCTCCCGAGCCCACCCTAGAGAGCACCAGCCCGCCCGCAGCCCCCTGCCCGCTGCCCTTCTGGCCCCCTCTGGGTCCCGTGGACAGTAATAGCTGAGTGGAGGGGCAAGGGGTGCTCAGGAGGACAGTCCATAGGTCCCCCCGACTTTCTGGGCCGGGCTTGGGGTCTCGGGGGGTGGGCACGCTCATTAAAGCCCATGCACGTTTGTGCCCAAGTCTGGGGTGCAGTGAGGACCTGCTGGGTGGGGTAGCCCCAGGAGACCGGGGCTCTTCCTTGGCCTTTTGCCTACGCCTTCCCCGTGGGGGTCCTGGGTGCCTGGAGCCTTCCTGCAGAGTGGACTCGGGCAGTCCAGCCCTCCTGCGCCCGCTGCCTGGGCCTGGCGGTCATCGGTGACGGGACGCTTGCCCTGCCTTGGTACGAGCAGGTGTTTGCTGTAGAGACGGGAATGTGTCACAGTCCGGAGACAAGGCTGAGCTGTTGCAGTGGCTGGGTAATTAGGGTGATTGTGGGCTTCCCCAGCAGACACTGTCCTCGCACCATCCCGAGCCCGCGCAGTGGGGGCTCCCAAGGGCACATGGCCCACTCCCTGCCTCCAGGGAAGTGGCAGGGCTGCTAGAAACCCAAATACCTCACCCCAGAGGACCCTAGGGCTGTGGGAGGCCAGCACATCCAGGGCTGAGCCACGGCCCTGGGTGGCAGGAAGCTTCACTAAGGAGGGGCACCTCTACACTGGGTTTTGAGGGATATGTAGAAGTCTGCAGCTCTGAAGATTTCCTTGGCAGAGGCAGCAAGTGGAGGAAGATGAAGGCAGGGAGGGAGCTACCAGGGTTCCAGGACCCTGCGCAGGGCAGCCCCCCCGCCCCCGCCCTGTGTCCTGGCCGGCCTCACCTGGGCTCAGCGGGAGGCTCCTGGGGGCCAGGCCCATGAGCAGCTTGGGGGGGGGCAGGGGCAGGCCCGTGGCGTGGGGCCTGTCTGGTACACATTGTCTGCTGGGCAGCCGTGCAGCAGCTGGTGAGGCGGCCACGGTGGTCCTTCACGGCACACAGCACCTGGGACGGCACTGGGCGGCAGCGCCGGCGGCACAGCTTTGGGCCTCTGGAAGAGGGGGCCGGCATGGCTGTCGGGCTCCCTGTCACTCGGACACCCATTTGTTTCCCTTTTCTGGAAGCAGGGTGACAGTTCCCCTCACGTGTCTGCGATTCCTGCCTCCTGAGGACACGTGTGCACGGCTCTGTGAGGGGTGCACGTGGGCGCGTCCTCCTGCCTGTCGGCCGGGCGCGCCATCCCGTCTGCTCGGTACCCCGGTGCCTGAGCCGTGGTTCCTGAGCTCCTTCCTGTCTGGGGACGTCCTGTGCCTCCCGTTGTTTGCCGCAGGAGCCGGCCCTCAGAGCTGGCCCAGGGCCGTGCCCACCTGTGCTCGGGAATGCACAGCGATGACGCTCTGCCCTGGGGGCGTCTCTCGGGCTCCTGTTCCAGCCGTTTCTGACCTGTAGCTGTCTCCTCTGGGGAGGTGTCCGGCCGCCTCGTCCGGTGTCTGACCTGGGCCTTCTGGACTTGCAGGAGCTCGTCCCCCGTGGGGTAGAGGCTTTTGCTGCCTGATTCCCCAGCTCCCCTGCCCTGTCAGCCTTGTTCTGGGGACTTGCTAGGCACACGTTTTGCTTCTAACTCTGGCTGGCGCCTGCAGTCTAGGTGGCGGGGCCGGTGGCGGGGCCGGTCCCATCCTGGGCTGAGTCCCTGGGCTTCCAGCCTGAATTACAGATGGACGCCAACAGCACCCTCCTGCTGTGTGCTCTGTGCTCTTCCTGCTGACCTGGAATCGCAGGACTCAGGCCAGATCAAAGGCAGCCAGCAAGAGGCCCCAGGGGTCTGCAGGCCTCCTTGGGGTGGGAGCTGGGCGGCGGGGGCGGGGGGGGGGCTCTGTGGGCACACCCTGCTGGAGCCCAGGAGCCCATCTGTCCTTCCCTGAGTGTGCACACGAGCTTCTGGCCCTTGGGCATCATCCACAAAGGCCCAGGTCCCCCACCTGCTGCTGTTCCTGCCTCTGGGCAAGTACGGCGTCCTCCCGCGGCCAAGTTCCCTGCACACGGAGAGGCTAGCCTGCAGGCCCATCCAGCCCAACACCGGGGGGGGGCAAGAAGCCGTGCTGGAAAGGACAGCCATGACCATGCTCCATGGAAGGACACAGAGGCCACGTAAAGTTACGGACATGCGGTCTGTTAAGGGAAGGTGTTTTCTATGCATGTGACAAGGGATTCATTTCCCATAAAAATCGAGGGGCTCTTGCAAATTGGTAAGAATCCCCCCAAACCCAGGTGAACCCAAGCAGCTGGTGAGCATGACAAGGAGCTCAAGGTCATGGTTAAAGCAGCAACAACAGGGGGGCCGGGTCACCCCAGAACCATGGGATGGGTGTGCGGTCGGGGTCCTGACTTTGATCAAGTCTGATGACACAGTGCGGGTGCCCCTCAGTGTTCACAGAAAGGGCATCCCAAGGTTGGGCTGCGGTGCCACAGTGAACGGGGTCCCCGGCCCCCTGTGCCCCCAAGTGCAGGAGGTGGGTTCAGCCATCGTGATTGCCTTCACGTGCCCACCTGGGAATGAAATCACCTTGAGGAATGTCAGGGTTGGGGGCCTAGGCTCAGGGATGGAGAGGTGGGGTGTCCTGGGCCCGAGCCCACAGAGCGGTCCAGCCAGAGGTCTGGAGGGTGCTGGCAGCGGCCGGGGCTGCGGTGGGGGCGAGGCTGCTGGTGGCCCTGGGGGCTTGTCCCAGCCAGGGAGGGGAGGGAGGAGAGACGGGGGCCTGGCTGTGGCCACACGGCAAGGGGGCGGTGACCAGGACCAGAGAAGTGTGCTGGGGCTCAGGTCCCAGAGGTGGGGCCGTGAGGAAGAGTGAATTAGTGTTCTGTCCTGGGGGAGGGTCCAGCAGTGGGGGGCAGGGGGCGTGGCAGGCTGGGGTGGTGCCGTCCAGGCACTGGCTTTGGGCCCATCGTACTGTCCTGAGACAGCAGTGAGCGGACACTGTCTGGACACTTCTGCCCAGAGATCTGCAGGCTGAAAGGAGGTTGGTGGGTCGGGTGGCAGAAGCTGAGCATCCCGGGGGGAGGGGTCCCTAAGGGTCCAGGCAGGGGGTGGCCCTGCGTCTGAGATACCCTGGCTCCCCTGCTGGGCAGTGGCTGAAGGCCTGGAGTAGGGGACTCTGGGGGTCATGGCCTCCAGAGCAAAGGGGGACTCAAGGAGGTCAGAGGGCTGGTCCCATGGGCAGAGGATATGGTGTGGGGCAGGGATACTCCAAGATGAAGCTCTCCTGGGCAGTGACCAAGGAGCGTGGGACGGCGGACAGCAGCTGTGGGAGTCCAGCTTGAGGCGCACTGGGCGGAGAGGGGTGGGGGCAGGGCCCAGGCCCTGAGTGAGGGCCTTGAGGGGGAGCAGGTAGGCCCCTGCTGGTTGGAGCCCTGGATGGGGTCTCAGGGGGCTTCTCTACTCTGCAGGCCTTGTGAAGCTGGGGATTCACTGTGTCACGTGCCAGAAGGTGGCTATTAAAATTGTCAACCGGGAGAAGCTCAGCGAGTCTGTGCTGATGAAGGTGAGCTCAGGTGGGGGGCCTGTGGTGAGAACCCCGGGGGCTGCAGAGAAGCCAGCCCAGGTGGGTCCCACTGGCTTGGTTCTGCTGCAGCACAGGTGGGCGGCTCCAGCCGCAGAGCGGGCTCCCTGCGCTACTGTCCTTTGACCATGACCAGCACCCTCCGTGCTGGCCGCCCCCCTGCCGGCCCTGCCTGCCCTTCCTCCTGGCCTCAGCCCGGAGCCTGGGAGGGACAGGCCGCATCCTGGGGCACCGTCCAGGCCCTGTGCCAACCTGCTGGGATAGCCAGTGGGGCCTCAGTTTCCCCAGTTAGATTCAGGAGGAGGCCCCTGCCCCTGAGGAGGGGAAGAGGACATGACACTTCGCGGGACGGGACCACGCCACCCCCTCCTGCTTCCCACCCTCCTCCCTCCCCAGGCCTGGGAGCCCCTCGTGTGGTGGAGTCTGGGCCCCCTCTGGGACTGGACACTCAGCGGGAAGGGGTTGCTCAGGCCGTGGGTCCCCCCACCTATCTGCCTGCTCACCTGTGGGTGTGGCGCACTCAGACCTTTGCAGGCAGGTGGCATGCTGGGGGGTCCCGTTCACCACGCCTGCCCCTGTCCTAGGGACTGTGCCTCATACCCTCTCCCAGACGTCTCCTGAGGGGGCACGTGGGGCCAGCATGCCAGGAGGGCAGTGACGGGCTGCCCGAGGGGTGGAGGCTGATGGGGGAGCTGCTGATGGGGAAGAAGTCCTCGCCAGAGGGCAGGGAGGCACTTGTGTGGGCCCCACTGGGGAACCCCAGAGACCACAGATGGGGCAGTTTTAAGGGAAGGTGATGCTTGCTTGGATGGGAGCGGGCAGACCCTGACCTTGCTTTGGACAGCACCTGGGACTCACATGTTCATTCGGGGACACTGAGTTCTAGATGCCCATAAGCTCTCCGAGCAGAGACACAAGAGCTCAGTGGCAGGGGCCTGGGGATCTAACTGGGGCCCACCTCCCTGGAGGCCTGGCAGGGCCGGGGTGGAGGGGCTGGGAGGCAGACCCCTTGTGTGATGTCCCTGGGATGGGATGGGCCAGTCCATAGAGGTGCAGACTCCATCGCTAGGCTGGCCCTCCTCCAAGCCTCCTGCTGCCCCCATGACCCAGCCAAGGCATCCAGGGGGGCACGGCCCACTTGATCCCTCCGTCTCCCCACCAGCCAGAGACCCCTGGAGGGCAGGGCAACATGGCATTGGTGTCCCCCACCGCCCAGCCCCAGGGCAGTGAGCCTGCCCCCAGCTGGACCTCTTCTTCCCATGCAGGTGGAGCGGGAGATCGCCATCCTGAAGCTCATCGAACACCCTCATGTTCTAAAGCTGCACGATGTTTATGAAAACAAAAAATATTTGTAGGTATTGCCGGGTCTGGAGAGCCGGGGTGGGGCTTTGGGGAGGGCACAGGCAGCCCCCCAGGCAGGGGGCCCTGGTGAGGAGGGAGCTCTCGGGAGGCTTCCACAGTCAGCGCTCCCAGGCCAGACCACGGCAGAGTCACCAACTGTATGGCCTCCCTGAGCTCACCTGGGCTGTGGGTGGCGGTCCCTCCCAGGGTCACTGCAAGGGGGCGTCCATCCCTGTCACTCCTTGTGTGACTGTGGGAGGCCCCGGCCTGTGATGCCCAGGCCTCAGGAGGGGCCCCAGCGGCACTGTCCTTGGGCACGTTGGCATTGAGTGAGGAAACATGAGCAAGGGGCCGGCCCGGGAGGCTGTCTGCAGCCCGCCCACACTGTTGTGGGCAGTGGAGGTTGGGGCACGAAGCCGGCCACCCAGGGCTGCCCCGGGGGAGCAGGAAGCCTCGGGCACACAGATGGAGGGTGGGCCCTAGGTGCAAACCGCGGCACCTCCTACACGAGGGGCCTGTTTCCTCAACGCCATGGTAGTCTCACGGCGCCAGCCAGGACCCAAGTGTTTGAGGGTTAGGGTGACGGGAGCCACCCGGTCAGCACGGGTGTGCGGGTGCTGGGTGGCAGGCCCCTGACGCTGCGAGCACAAGGAGCTCTGCCCCCGCGAGACACACACCTGCATGACCCCCACCATTGGCCTCACCGGGGGGCCCACCTTGCAGTGTCAGTGGCGTCCCATGAGCTTGGGGCGCATAACATGCGGGAGACCTATCACGCCTCGTTTCTGCAGAGATCCTCTCGAGGTAGACCTGGTCGGGGGGGGGGAATGACAGGCAGAGCCTTTGGCTCCAAGGGGGCCCCCGGGGGGGGGGGGGGGCCGGGGACAGGGGCCGGGGGGGGGGGGGGCACAGCCTGGGCAAAGGCCCGATGACAGGGACACCGTGCCCAGTATGAGGTGCTCGGGGGCCAGGCTGGGTCCTGCGGGGCCCCGCATGCTCCCCAGCACTCCCAAGCCCAAGGCTGCCCAGGTGAGGGAGGAGCCCGGGGCCCTCTGCCAACGAGATCAGCCTGCGGCCTGTGCTGTGCTGGGACCCACCCGCTCGGGAGCAGGGCGAGACCCCCCAGGAGGGCCCCTCCTGCCTGAACCCCACCTAGTGCCCCCTCGCGTCTCCCTGTGCTCCCACACCCCCACCGACCCCTCCGCTCCTGCAAGACCAGCTCTGGAGATTCCCTTGGCTTCCTCCAGGAACTCCTTGGGGGTCCTGCAGGCATCTGTACGCACATGTCCCCGGGGGCCTCAGGGTCCCTCCTTTTGCCTGTAGCCCCAGACACGGCATGCCCTGCCCCTCCAGCTCTCCCCATCCCGCCCTGCCCCCACCGCAGCCCTGCGCCATAGCCTAGAGGGCTCTCAGTCCCTGGGCCCCCGCCAGGGGTCGATGCAGCAGAGGCGAGGGCCCCGAGGGGTGGCAGAGGGGGGTGTCAGGCCTTGAGGCCACGGGCCCACAGAGCCAGGGAGCCCGGGGCCCTGTCAGAATCCTCCTGGGGGCCCAGCCCCCAGCCCCTGCCCCAGTCCAGGCCACCAGGCCCCGGGGAGCCGAGTGGGGGCAGTTACTCCCTGCCCGCTGGGCCACGCCCACCTTTTTGCTCTGTCTTCCAAGACCCAGTGTGAGGGCCCATCCCTGGGCGCCCCTAGCCCTGCCCTGCTCCAACCCCTTGCTCACCCTGTTTGGAGGCCTGCCCTATTGGCCAGGGCTCCCTGAGGGCCTGAGTGTCTGATTCAGGACGACCCTGCTCTGGGAGCCCAAGCTGGACTAGCCAGGGAGGGCCTGGAATGGTCCCAGCCCCAGCTTGCGTGGGGGTCCGTGGCCACAGTGCCCCTTTTGCCTGGAGGCCCGGCTGTCCCTCAGCCAGGGGGCCAGGGGTGACCCTGTGCCTGGAATCTCCCCAGCAGAGGGCTCCCCCCATGGTGGTCCTGGAAGCAGGCCTGCCAGGAAGTGGGGGGCGTGGAGCCCTCATGCTGAGGGTGCTGGAGGCTGGGACAGGCGGAGGTTGGTGCCAGGACGGGGTGCTGGCCTGCAGCCTCTGGCCAGTGCTGCTGTGGCTGGGTGGCCCCAAGGCGGGCGGGTTGGACTACGTGCAGCCACCCGACGCCCACCTGTCCCCCACAGATACCTGGTGCTAGAACACGTGTCTGGTGGGGAACTCTTCGACTACCTTGTCAAGAAGGGGAGGCTGACCCCCAAAGAGGCCCGGAAGTTCTTCCGGCAGATCATCTCCGCGCTAGACTTTTGCCACAGCCACTCCATATGGTGCGTACCCCGACCCCTGCCAGGTGTCCCCATCCCCTGCGAGGTGCACCCCCATTCTCTACGAGCAAAGCCTCATTCCCTGCTAGGTGTCCATCCCCCACCAGGTACCCCCACCCCCCACCAGGTACACTCCATCCCCCACCAGGTACCCTCCATCCCCCCACCAGATACCCCCCACCAGGTACCCTCCATCCCCCACCAGGTACCCTCCATCCCCC